CGGGCTCATGGCGGGATGCATCACCAAAAGGCAGCTTGTGTCAGTTTAATGTGAAACTTCTTCGGAAAAATTCTCTGGCCCCTTGAACATGAGTTCACGAAGTAGTCACTACTAATTCATCAGCGCTAATGCCCTTGCCGAAAGGTTATTGTTGCTTATTTATGATAACATGTCTGACTAAGTCCAGTGTAATCTAATTTGGGATATGCACTTGTAGTAATATGCCTTGCTGACGTTGAGCTGGATCCAAGCAAAGACAAACCTCCTACACGTTTCTATGAATTCACCCGTCTTTCAAAAGGTGTATAAATATAGCCGGGTGAATCAAAGCGTAGTATATCACGTTTCCTGTATGAGTGGTGAGAGTGATGGGATGCAGACGGTGGGTTTGACAGAGGGAAACATAAGCCCCTGAGATTCACGTGTGCACACAGCCATGCAAGTTGTCAGACTGAAGAAGCCAGGCATTCTTTTGTTTTGTCTTTTGGTTTGTTTATCACTTGCACCTACGCCTTCATTATGTACCTATTCTTGCTCCAGCACAACTCCTTTTTTATTTGACCTTGTTGTTTTTTTATTTCTTATTCAGAGCTATTCAGCTGGAATGAAGCAATGTGCCATAAATAAGTTGTATATGGAGCCTATTTTAAAACAGGTTTATATGCTGGGTGGGAGGCAGTTTTTTTGTTTAATATATTTTTGAATATGCTGCAGCCTGGGTGCGTGCCGGATGATTCTGGTGACAAATATCCTGTTCCACTCACGCAGAGCTCAATGGTTCCCTGCCGTAACGTTTTTGATTTATGTTTCATGCGCCACGAAATGTCGTGTGACAGACAATGAGAGGGAGATACATGGGGAATTCATGGGGTGGTCGCTCAGCTCTCAGGAGGGAGACGCTTTAAAGCAAGGATCAGTTGATTTGATGCAACATTTCACTTGGTCGACAGTTTTTGAGAGAGCGTGCAGTGGGATCAGATAATTACAGAGCCAATGTTGTCAGAGACGTTAAAGGCATGCTGTCCCCGTAGGCCTGCAACCAATCAGCATTCAGGTTAAGCTCTATTCAACCCACACTCGTTGGTAATAATAGCTCCAAAAGATGTCAGTGGACACTTTACTCTGGTGTTCAGGCGTGAGAATATTGTTGTTGGTCGTTTTTCTTACACCAAAACAATAATCGTTTTGAGTACTGTGAGTTTGGGCGTGATGAGCAAGTTGGTTAATTAAACAGCGAGAGGTACTGCTTGGTCCAGTGTTTTAATAATGGATGCCAACAAAACAAAGACAGTCATCTGGCCACTTCGCAGCAATCCTCTCAGTGGTGTTTTAGCACTTACCTCATCCTCTTGACGATAAGGGGGAGAGAGGGTTCAGCCAGACAGAGCTGTAAGGCTGCAGCGTGCCCCTGTCCAGCCAGCGCACATGATAACACTGAGCCGCATGATGTCAGCGAGGAATAAAAACCTCTGCACAATGACAAATGCACACAGCGAGCACTGTGAGCGTCACAAATATAATCTGACAGATTTGCCCACTGAGCTGACTCGAGGACGAGGAACAAATGCTTTTATTTTTATCTCGGCAGGCTTAAGAGATGGCTCGTGCTGTTTTAGTAACTTGGAAATTGACTGTGTCTGAATACCTGTGGCAGGCCTGTGGTGAGACATGCGACTGACACCTGATTTTCTTCTCCTTCTGAAAAACAAAACTCAAAAAAGTCCCCAAAGTTAGCAAAGTTTACAGGAATAAAATGACATTGTGTTTCATATTGTTATTTTCTTTATTACCACATTTGATGAATCAAGTTCAAGTGATTAAAATGAAATTAGACATACTGTAGTTGTGTTGTCTCCGGGGTGCAGGGGTTGTAACACGCTTTGAACGCAGGATTGATGGCCAACATGTGTTTTAAATCCGCTCCCTTCATATCTGCCAATCAACGCTGTTGTTTCAGCTGTTGTCTGAGTGAGCGAGAGCCTCACGCCTCCACATTTCAACTTCAGAAGGTGGTTTGTTATATCAACCCTGGAATCAACCCAGCGTCTGACACCAAATGTTGTTGAAGTGAGGCACATTATATATAATCCTTTACAGATTATTTACAGAGAGCATAAATGTTTATATCGGTCCAGTGATGTCATGGTGCATGAGAAGCTGGATAAATAATGACGAGCAGTATGTAATTATGTTTTTGGACTAGTTTACATGGAGCAATAATGATATAATAAGGACCTTCATCTTTAAAAAGCTGAACTGTATTTAACGCTGAGTTTATTTCTACTTCGTCACAAGTTTTGACTTCTAAAATGTGTAGCTCACACACACAATAGACCTTTTTATTGCCCATCTGCTCCAAACTTAAGGGAAGCTAATGCATCCTTTGCAAAACACCAATTCAATTGCACTGTGGCTGCGCTGCACTGTATGTTCTTGTTATCTATCATGTTATCTGACACATTACAGTTTGATTTATTGTTTTATTCTCCCCCACCCAGAGCAGCTTCACTATAACAATATCAGACGTCATTTTCTACAATTCATGTCTTCTGAGGAGATCCAGTGTCACACTACCATCAGCTCGGACCTTAGGAGGACAGGAACTTGATTGGAATCAATCGGAAACCATTTACGTCCTGGGTTTTATATGTTTAAGCTCAGTGTTCGACAGTCTGTTCCCAGGGGCAGAGAAGCTTTATAACAAGAACAGCCTGATTTGAGCATTTTTTCAGAGAGGACCTGCCAGATATATCAGTGTACAACAACTCTGTTGTTTCCTGTGATGGTGTGTTGGGAAAGTAATTCATGAGTCTAAAAACAAGTCTACAACCATGCTAGCGGCTCTGTGAGGCTGTAGTCAGGCGCTGAGGTGCTCTGAGCTAAATGCTAACATCACAATGCTAACCTGTCACGTGTCGATTTTTAGCAGGTTTAATGTTGTCCATGTTTAACATCTTAGTTTAGCGTGTTCTCGTGTTGATATTTGCTTATCAGCACTGAACACCAAGTATGGAAAGCCAGAGGATCACCAGAACTATTACAGTTCATCCTGCAGGGGACGTGGATGTCAATAAATCATGGCTGCCAGACCCGGGTCTATGAGAGTGCAAAAACATGCATTGCACCCTCAATTTAATATTTTGTACTCTAAGTTGAAAACGGTATACAAAATAATTTAATAAATAACACTTAATGATGATAATGTCACAAAAAAAGTAATAATGAAAATGATCTAATTCACCAAACAGTACTTACCGTAAAACTTCAATTAAATGCCCAGTCCCTTTAATAAAACAGTTGTTTTTTTTTTTTTTTAATTTTTAATTCCCGAGGGGAAATTCAATTTTTTCACTCTTGTTATCAATTACACACAGGTCTGAACACACACATGCACAAACAGGACCTATACATGCACAAAGTGGAGAGATGTCAGAGTGAGGGGGCTGCCTTGGTCAGGCGCCCCGAGTGGTTGGGGGGTTCGGTCTTGCTCACGGGCACCTCGGTAGTGCCCAAGAGGTGAACTGACACCTCTCCAGCTCCCAGTCCACGCTCCATATTTGGTACGGACGGGGACTTGAACAGGTCCCAATGGACTGAGCTACTGCACTCAGGTTGTTGGTTACCCACTTGAGCAGTGTTAGTTAACTGCTTAGATCGCACATACAAATATAAATGTTTAAACTTTTGTCAATATGAAGATGCTACACATTGTTAGCTCAGTTGGATTCTCCACAATTCAACTGTTCAGGTCATTATACTGAAACCATGAGCGACGGAGAAGACCGAATTAATTCAAATTTACAAGCATGACGAAGAAACAAGTGGTGACTCCCTTCCCCTAAAGCCATCATAAAGTCAGAATATATGTCCATTCCTTGATTAAGCTTTAAGTTATTTATATTCCTTTAGTCTGTAAGGGTCCGCCAATCAAAAGAATCAAAGGGTTTTTCATAAAAATTAATCCATGCTTCAAATATTGTTTTAACAGGATAAAGTGGTGTTGTGTCAGGATGCCATAACTCTCTTGGATGCCCTGTTTGTCAGAGCTACCAAATAAATAAGTTAAATTTGATATGTTATTTGTTGCCTAATTTTTATACAAGTAATATTCATACTGGCTTCATAAACAATCTGATGTGTTTCCCATCTTTGTTGAGCAACAGTTTTGTGTAAAAGGAATTAGAGGCCTGTCCCATATAGGCCGGTTGAGTTCAGTGATTTAAGGAAATAATAGCCCGGGCTGAAGCCCGTATTGAAGTTTGACGGTAAATTACCTATGTGCATCAGTCGTATTTGTCGCAAACTGTGATGGCACAACATCGTGGCAGAAGTCATGCTGGGGACCAGAGATGGAGGGTGCAGTTCTGACTCATAAAACAAACTGTTGGAAAAGAATAACATGCTGTAGACATAAGCTGTTTTGTTCATTTATTGCTGTTGCTGGCCCGCACTGTGGCTAGTAGTGCATGCACACTTATTTTAGATACACCCTAGGTCATTTTGTTCTGGAACTGGGCCTGATGGAAATGTATCCAAGAAATACTTCAAAACTATAAATGTGAATGTAATGGTTGCACTTAAGAAAAAAATCAGGGATCACCAATGTCACTTGGGGAAAACTTCATCCTCTGGGCACCATGAATATCTGTACCATGTTTAAATCCACCAGTAGTTGTTGAGAAATTTTACGATTGCTATTTGTAGAAATAAAATGAATAAAAATGTTGTTCGTTTTAAAGCAGTTACAGTGGGGAACAAAGGGGGCTGCAACACTGACAGAGCTGTGATGATAAAGCATCTGCCTCGGCTCAGATCAGTGCAGCAGAGAGTACATGGTAAAAGCCCAAATGAGCCACAGAGGGCACAGTGAAGCGACTCTTTTATGATAGTAAATCACAGTCGTACCTCCTGTGACCCAGTTTATTTTAACCCGGAGCAGGAAGTGAAAAGGGAGTGCTGTATGCTTTTTAATAATACACAAACCTCTTCTGTTTCTCCAGGCAACATCTTCGTGGTGAGTTTGTCCGTAGCGGACCTGGTGGTTGCGTTGTACCCTTACCCTCTGGTCCTGACAGCCATCTTCTACGATGACTGGACCATGGGTGACCTGCACTGCCAGGCCAGCGGCTTCATCATGGGCATAAGTGTCATCGGCTCCATCTTCAACATCACTGCCATCGCCATCAACCGGTACTGCTACATCTGCCACAGCCTCCACTACGACCGCCTGTACAGCCTGAGGAACACCTGCTGCTACCTGGGGCTCACCTGGCTCCTCACCGCGATTGCCACGGTGCCCAACTTCTTTGTTGGCTCGCTGCAGTACGACCCCCGCATCTACTCCTGCACCTTCACCCAGACGGTCAGCTCATACTACACCATCTCAGTGGTGATCATTCACTTTCTGATCCCGCTGCTGGTGGTGTCCTACTGCTACATGAGGATATGGGTGCTGGTGATTCAAGTGAAACATCGGGTTAAACCGGAGCAAAGGACCAAACTGAAACCTAGTGATGTGAGGAACTTCCTCACTATGTTTATGGTGTTTGTTTTGTTTGCAGTGTGCTGGGCTCCACTTAACCTCATAGGCCTGGCTGTAGCTATAAACCCTGTACAAGTTGCACCCAACATACCTGAGTGGCTCTTTGTCACGAGCTACTTCATGGCTTACTTCAACAGCTGCCTCAACGCCGTCATATATGGACTACTAAACCAAAACTTCCGTAAAGAATACAAAACGATCCTCCTTGCAGTTTGCATCCCACGTTTGCTCCTCATGGAGACCTCCAGGTGCGCCACAGAGGGCCTGAAGAGCAAGCCCTCGCCGGCTGCGACGAACAACAATGTAGCAGAATTAAATGTATAGACTTGATGTTTTGCCTGGATTAAGTTTCTGTGGAGCGTCATTGCGGATGTGTGCCATGATTCACCCAGTGCCTTTTTGTAGGTTGTGTTTCATTTACCAGTTGTAAAGATTTAATCGTGTTTGGAGAGGACACTGCTGTCATCGTATTCCTTTCAGCCATGCCAGACACTGTTCCCTCATGTCGAGAGGGAAACAATCAACCTAATTGTCGGTGCATTACGATCTGTTTTGACACGACACTCTTGACAAACTGGTTAACAAGCAAGAAAAAAAGTCCAGGTAACTAGTAAGTATTCACCAAAATACATTTGGACAGTGAGTCAATACAGAATAGCTTATTATTTGGATGGGAGTCTTCACTTCTCAGGCAACATCCTAGCATGTGTATGTCATATGCACGAGATCGGCTCACTGCATCTTTTGCACAGAACGATTTTGAGTGTGTCAGCGACCTCGTGAAAAGAAAATAAATGTATTTTTTATTCCCACTGTGTACTCGCACTTTTAAATACATCACTTTTAATGATGGAAAACTTGAAGGCTGGTTGTTTTCCTTCAAAGTAATCCGTAATCCAATCTCAGATTTCAATTGAAGCCTTTTTATTCAATGCTCGACTCAATTTTAAAGGCTCTGGTTTGCAAGTTGTCATCTTATATTTTATCCTGAGTGTGTGTGAGTATCTCAGGCTCCTTCTCACTGGGACTGTAGCCTGTTTTAATTCATCATGATGCTGGTTCACCCTCAGGCTTGTCTTCTGAACAACGGTGCCCTCACAAAACACACTGGGTTTAATTCAAGAAAAAGGAACATCTGAATGGGCTTTGTGTGTTAATGGAAAGAAGTTGTGCCTTGTTGTTAGGAAAATTGAGTTCCCTCACAGTTTCAGTCAATTCCTCTGCTAAACAAAACTGTCTTTTCACTGCCTCAACTATCGCGTGGATCAATTTACCGAACTCGAATGTTCAAAGTCCCCTGGTGTCCCCTCTCAGATCTTGAATGATTGAGTAATCGCGGAAATTTTGAAAAGGGGAAAAGCAGATGATAAACAAAACAAGCTTTCTTGTTTATTAAATGCCTGGGGGACATGATACGCATCAGGAGCCAGAGATATAATTTCGTGTTAGAGCAAGTGTGCCTGAGCTCATGTCACCCTAGCCGAGATGAGCTCTGACAGCCTCCCAGCATAACTTTAACCCAGCAAACAAACTATGAGCGGTTCACCTCAAAGGGAGCCTCCAGGATGTAAATGTGACACATTCCTGATACGATGCACTGTTACTGGAATATTGAGGAGATTACAAATTCACAATGTCCAATTCAAAGGATTCATAAATATGTTCAGCATATTTTTACTTTCAGACCCGTTTTCAGATTTTTGTATTCTGCTGTGCTCTGCTGCAGCTGAGCTTGGATCGGCTGCCTGATGTAAATTAAACCCTCAGCTGACGATTACAGATGCAGGAATAGTAATTAGGAATCCCTGATCAGGTGCTATCAAGTTGCAGAGCAGCAGAAAGGCACAACATTATTCAGTCCTGCTCGCAATCTCACAAGACAGCAGCTCTGATGTGGAAGAAAGAAGCAGCCCACATGCCAGTGCAAGGTCAGCTACAGATGAGTGGTTAAAGGGGCTCGAGGGAAGATGACAGAGTCGGCTCGACCACACCACCGAGTCACAGACTAATGGCAGGGTCATCCTTCTTCTTTCTCCTCTCACCTTGCACTCTTAATTCTCTCATTTTCCTGTTCTTTTTTCACCTGAATTTATTCATCCATCTCTCTCCCAGGGAATAGTTTGGCATTTTGGGAAATATGTAGGGGTGTAGTGTTGCTGGAGCACAGAATGCCAAGAACTACACTTTTCCACTGCTTTCTCCAAGTGAGGAAATATAATATTTACAGCTCAGATAATCTATTTTTTAAGTGCTTGGAGATCCAATGATCACTAAAGCATATGTCATGCAAGACAGACAATAAAAATCTAATTGAATTGTCAAAGTTGTCATATTGACATTTAAAGGTCTCGTGCGTAGGATTTACTGCCATCTACTGGTGAGGGTGCAGAACTGAAACTTATTTTGTGTGCCAAGTGTGCAGGTAAACTACAGTTGCCAAGTCGTGACAACGCAACTTACTCCATATGCAGATACAAACGGCTCATTCTCAGGTTATAACATAACGATTCACATTTTCAGGGTGACTATAAACTAATGACAACATAGCTATAAAGGTATATCCCATTTTTGCTGATAACTCATGCACGCTGGTCCTTACAGGTGTGTTGATTGATTCATAACTTCAACTTGTGCACTGAGTAACATGTAAGAAAACATTCCACCTTAAAAGTTGCCAGTAGCTGCCGACAGTAGTCTCTCAGCAGCACAGTGAATTTAATTATTTTTTTCTCAGTCTATAGTTAGTTAACTGTCATTCTCAGAACCCATCGGCTGTATTCGGCGTCTGACTTCCGGCGGACGGCGAATACAGCCTCTGGGGGCAGACCCCTGATTTTCTGGCATTCTGGTTTGATTTGGGCGGAGGAGGCGAATTTCCGTTTCCGACTTCCGTTTATATATAAGTAAATATGCTGAACCATTGTGATGGATTCAGAGTTTGCAGTGACGCCAATTATGTTCCGCCTTGTTAGTTCACCACATGGACCATTTAACCTGGCAACAACTGCAGCCGGCTCAAACGTGATTGGTCAATATCACACGGACTACAAACAGCCTACAACCGGAAACCAGGGCTCTTCCGCTCTTCTTCCGGAGGCAAGATCTCCGGGGTTTGCCTACAGACTCTACATTCACTGAATGTTGAGTAGACTACATTCACTGAATGTAGAGTCTGTATATAGAGACTAGTTAACTGTTAACTAGTAGAGATAAAAAGGCAGCAAAACATCATTTCATTTTATAGTAATAAACCCTTTTACAGCTGACGTCACAATGACGTTATTCTATTAGCTGAAAACAAAACAACTTGCCAACAAAAACACAGACAACTATGGTTAAATGCGATAACATGAAAGGACTGGACGGAGGCAATCATCAAAAATGCTCACGTGAGCAGTGCACACTTGATATCAGGTTAGGGTCAAAGTATTTACTGTTGCAGGGATGAGTAGCCTAACGTTACGTGTATTAAGTGTTATCATGTCCACCTAATCAGAAATTGGGGAGGTATTAAGAGGAATATTGGATTTCACTGTAATGCTAATTTTTTAGCGCATTAGCTAACGTTAGCTTTGATAGCAAAACAAACTGGAGGAAACCATTCAAGTTTCGTCCTCCTTTGTGAGATTGCCATAGTAATTAACCACAAAGCTTCAGCAATCCCATCACATCATCCATCCACTGAGTGAGAGCATACAGGTCGGCCAGTCTGGTCCCGTTTTGGGCCCGGAGAGTGAGTGGATAAATGAACAGTAAATTCCACTCCGGCAGTGGGAATGAGTATTTCTGAATGCACCACTCGCCTCATCTTCCTCCATTGTCTAAAACAAGTCAACAGTACTTGCTAACAGAGCCAGCTAATGTCTGTGGAGAATTGTTTTGCCTGCAGCTAGGCCCTGCTCACCCAAAAACGTCATACTGTTTACAAACAGTAAAAGGATCTACAGTGCACTAATTTATTTTAATTTCAATTATGAAGCCCAACGTCACAAATCACAATTTGCCTCAGAGGGCTCTACAGCATACCACATTCCTCTGTCCTTGGACGCTCCCAGCAGATAACCCAAAAAAACATTTAATGGGGAAAACCTCAGGAAGAGCTATTGAGGAGGGATCACTCTTTCAGGATGGACAGGAGAGGGATGCACAGCAACAACAGTAGTGACAATAGCTACAATGACATTAATTATGGTAATAGTATTATAATAATAATAGCAGTAGTAATTTGATTATTGATTGATTGATTTATATGTCATAGGTATTTATTATTAAATGATATGTATGAGACAATAGTAATCATGTGTATAATAATAGCAGTTGTATTAGTAGTAGACATGGAGTTATCGATATGCAGTTAATAGGACATGAATGTTAGCAAATGAAAAGGGAGAGAGAGAAGGGGCTCAGTGTATCATACGAGGTTCCCGGCAGACTAGGCCTATATCAGTCTAACTAGGGGCTGGTCCAAGGCAAGCCTGAGCCAGCCCTAACTATAAGCTTAATCAAAGAGGAAAGTCTAGTCTTAAATGTGGAGATGTGTCTGCCTCCCAGACCAAAACAGGAAGATGGTTCCACAGAAGAGGAACCTGATAGCTGAAGGCTCTGGCTCCCGTTCTACTTTTGGAGACTTTAGGAGCCACGAGTAACCCTGCATTCTCAGAGCACAGTGTTCTGGTGGCTTAATAGGACACTATGAGCTCTCTTATGTTGGAGCCTGATCATTTAAAGCTTTGTATGTTAGGAGTAGGATTTTAAATTCAATTCTGGATTTTACAGGGAGCCAATGCAGAGAAGCTAAAACAGGAGAAATATATATTTTTGTGTGTGTGTGTGTGTGTGTTCCTCATCAGTACATGTGCCACAGCATTCTGGATCAGCTGAAGAGCAATCTGATGATAAGAAATTGCAATAATTTTGCCTAGAGGTACCAAATGCGTGCACCAGTTTTTTTGTTTGTCCTTCAAGTTTGCCCTTGAAGTTTGTTTTATATGGAAGTTAAAGGACAAATCTTGATCAAATATTACTCCAAGGTTCCTTACAGTTGTGCTAGAGGCCAGAGCAATGCCATCTAGAGAAACTATATATTTAGATAGAGAGTTTCCGGGGTGTTTGGGGCCAAGAACAGTAACTTCAGTTTTGTCTGAATTTAACATCAGGATATTGGAGCTTATCTCCGTTTTTATGTCCTTAAGATATTTTTGAAGTTTGGTTAACTGATTCATTTCTTCTGGTTTGATTGGTAGATGTAATTGTGTATCATCTGCATAACAATAAAAATTTACGAGGGATTTCTAAATATGTTGCCTAAGGGAAGCATATATAACGTGAATAGAATTGGTCCGAGCACAGAACCTTGTGGAACTCTGTAACTAACTTTAGTATGCATGGATGATTCATCATTAACATGAACAAACTGAAACTGATCAGATAAACAGGATTTAAACCTGCTAAGTGCAGAAATTGTGTCAAATGCTGCACTGAGATCTAATAAAACAAGTACAGAAACAAGTTCTTTGTCTGAAGCAAGCAGAAGATCATTTGTAATTTTCACCAGCGCTATCTCTGTGCTATCTAAATCCTGACGGAAAATTCGTTCTCAAGGATCTGTGAAAGAAAGGAGAGATTAGATACTGGTCTATAGTTGGCTAACACCTCTGGATCGAGGGTGGGCTTTTTAAGAAGAGGTTTAATTACAGCCTCTTTAAAGAATTGCAGTACATAGTCTGCTGATAAAGACGTGTTGATCATGTCCAATGAAGAAGTGTTAACTAAGGGTAAAGCTTCTAAAAGTAGTCTAGTTGGGGTGGGGTCTAAGAGACAAGGTGATG